TAACGTTTGTATACGGGCCGGGAAACATGTAGTTAATACTATAGCAAATAGTAGACGAATTTGCTTTGCGGTACAGCTTCAGCAAGCATACATTCCCACTGGTTGTCGTCTTCCAGCAAGCCGAGTGCGAGGCATCCATCTTTATACGATGGATGATGATGATGTCCATCGACTCTACGTATATCTTGAAATGACAATTAACCGGTGACATTAACCAACAACAGTCGAAAATAAAAGCACTCAGTCTGCCTTGGGTTGACTGTAAATACTCTCCCCAAGGCGTTTAATTTGAATAAACCGGGACATGCATCAACCGGTGTGCCTTGCTTGCAGGGTGTCCATTTTTTTGTTTGAGCCCATGTGAAATAGTGTGGTACTTCTGAGTAGAGTAATGTCCATGCAAAGGCACTAAAAGCATCCGCACGATTACACAATTCAAAAAATTCGGTGAGTAGTTTTTGGTGGATTTATAGCTCGATCAATCGCTGTCTTGTTCGTTAAATATACGTTCTGACCGATTTCAAGATGGACGGCTAAATGAATAACAGTTGGATCCCGTTCATGAATTGGTACACCAAAGATACGTCAAACAGCTTCATTGGAGCTGATGCACCGGCCAATTTGGTACAGCGTTATTTCATCGTTGTTATTCACTGGAAGAGCAGTCTCATTGGCATTTTCAACTCGAAATACTGCCATATCACTGCCTTTATTCACATACTTGCAAATATATTTGATACTCTTCTCTTAAGGGCGAGCATAAGTTTTAGAGTTTAATATGACTTGTTGCAACATGCGTGAATATTGTTTCTGATTTATCATGTTTCTATGTCTAGTTTGGATTCAAATACGATTAAATAAAGATATATTTAAAATATACGTTAAATCCGTTCAAAAAATGAAAAAAAATTAGTTATAAACCTATTCTCAGGCCTACTGAATATACATATAACATTTCATGAAAATCGGTCGGGCCGTTTCGGAGGAGTATAAACACTAAAACTGTTACAAGAGATTTATATATATATATATATATATCTTTTATTTTGTATTTTTTACTTCATTTGTTCTATTTTTGTGCTCCTCACGCTATTTTATTGATATATTTTGCTCTGGCTATATTAAGATAATATTTGTTTTCAGGCTTATGAATTTTTTTAAAAATATTTTTTAAAAATTATTTTATTTGTTAATTATTTTTATTAAGATGAATTGTGGGTTAAAGTGTTTAAGTACTTTTTTTAGTTTTAATACTTTTTTCATGATATCCTAATCTTAGTATATTAAATAAAAATACTCTAAATATCATTGAAAAAGCTGAAAGAACTCGGAAGGTTAAGATGAATACGTATAAAATAAGATAAAAGTAGGAAATTGTTCTTTGCAACATGTATGGAAAGTTTTTAAAAATATATTTCTGCGCTTCTCCCTGCATTTTAATGTTGGAAAAGAGAGTGCGAAATCGTGATCTTCTTAAAATGAGTCTGCGATGGTGTTAAAAAACAGGACTTCCTACAAACGAATAAGAGTTAAAAGGGAGAACCAGGTTAGTGTAACAAATGGGTTATTGTCCTCTTTACCTTTTCCTTCCTCTCTCTTCACTCACTGGTTAAATTTAATTTTTTTTTCTCTCATTGCAAACGAGTTATATGAATCTCTTTTTTTATTAATTTCTTTCATTGAATAATTACTTGCACTAGTCTTAAATGTAAATACCCGTAAAAGCTGTAAATGGTTCATATATAACAGAGGTTTCCAACTTACATTAGGCCGGGGGCCGCAATTAAAAACATTAGTCAAATGGCGGGTCTCAAAATTTTATGTAGGACTCTTTTATGTTTGAAGGCACATAAAATATCACTATGAGATTTTTATCAAGTTGTACAAAACAAAAGTGTTGAATTACAAATTAAAATAAGAAGTAGATTTTTAAGATTTTATTTGCATATTAATTTATATTTGCAATATATTTATATATTATTTGCATAGTAGATTTATATTTACATATTAAAAAATTCTGGCTTCAATAACTTTAATTGTGCATCTATGTATTAAACAATTAATGTGCAACACATATCAAATTGTTAAGATATAAAGTATTTAAAACTCATATAGATTGTCCGCAGAAAAAATGACAACGAATATATTTTAGTTCGCTGGCCATAAAAAAGAGGCTTCGTGGGCAGTAACCACTGATACATAGTAAGTAAATAATTTCATTATAGTTACTTCCATGTAAGTTATAGCATAAAAATTATTTGGTAATTTTTTAAAAAATAAATGTTATAGTTCCAATGCAATGATTTCAAGGAAACGAAGTACTATTACTAGTTTGTATGTTTAGTAGCTATTTAGTGTAGCTTATAAAATAATGCATCATCTTTTTTAATATATAACTTAATGTAATACTTTTCATAGGCACCTTTTTTCCGTTAAAAATTCTTTCTTAATATATTTTGGTCTCATAATCCTCAAGTTTGACTGATTCTGACCCACGAGAGAAGTTTTTAATTGTTGTAATGCAAATTACTAACACTTTGTTAAATACAGATGTGAGACACTACTCTTTCGATTCGTGTTAATGAAATCCTCAATAAGGATGACAAAGGATTATTTCAGGTATAAGTATTTATTTCGTCATCTCTGGATTAATTATGAGTAAAAAATAAAATATGAGTATATACATAATCTACATGGCATTAAAGTCCGGCATTAAACTCTCCTGCTCCCTTCCAGTTCATACCTTCGCTCTCCTAGTCCAGCTAATACTCAACTCTTCTACGTTCAAACTAATACTGATCAAAAATATTCTTTCCCATAAGAAAAAGTCCTTCGCTCCACCCTCAATGTAGGGGAACGACACTTCCCATGTCCCTTACCCTCTGACCCTCAGGTCAGGGGTCAATCAAATGCGTGGGAGAGGAATCAGGATCCTGACAACAGAATATTACTCTAAATTGAAGGGGGGGGGGAAATTTATTTTTACATTTTTCCCTTCTTACCTAGTATTTTGATTTAATAAAATAATGTATGAAGGTTAAAAGGCTTGTCTAAATGAAAAATAAATTTTTAAAAAATTACTTATACTATACTCCCGTGGATTTATAAGTATAATTTGTTCACCAGAAGTTGGCACTTTGCTCTACCTCCTCGGTCGAAAAGTTCATTTCAGCGCGGCAGTAAGAGAAGAAACGTCTCCGTGCTTGAAAGGGAGACAACCCTTAATGCGCGCCAAACGCTAACAGCGAATTCTTTCTCAGTCACTTACTTCGCTTTATCATCTGCTAGTATACATTTCGTTACTCAAGTTAATTAAATATATTGCAGCAAAATGTCTCAAAAAATACAAACTATTCACTAAAAAGAGAGAAATATCATCAAATTTAGGAAATATTTAATGTTAAAAAATGCACATTAAGATGGTGCAATAAATATTTTTGTCATGCGATCGCCAAATAGCAACCTTGTTCAGGATTGTTCACATCCTTCTCTCAAAAATAGCGAGATAGTATCGTCGGATACCACGTGATGAAGCCGGAGTCAAGTGCCAACTCCTGGTGAACGAACTATAGTAGACTAGCTGTCTTCATAAGAAATTCATTAGCGGGAGAGAAATAACGCTTACGTCATTAAGTCTTATAATTTCTAAAATTCCGTAAAAAAAAAAAATTGAAATAATATTAATGTGAAATCAAATTATATTATATATATATATATATATATATTTGAACAGGTCCATACGTACGTCTAAGAAAGCGATTAAAATTCAAAAGTAATAATTTCAACAAGGAATCAGCTGAATCAATAGAAAGAGTGAGATTGTTTTAGCAGGTTAAGTTTTGAAATATTGGCTTTAATTCTTGAAAACAGAAGACGGATGCCAGGTTTTAGTATCTAGATAAAATCAGTTTTTAGTTTTGATGGCATGAAAGGCTGAAAACAGATTCGCTTAGATAAGATCGAGCCAATATAAGAACATTCTTTGCTTTTAAACGAGTTACTGAATTCCCCCCCCCAGGTTAAGACGAAAATGNTATATATATATATATTATAGTCTGAATTAATAACAAAACAAGATTATATATATATATATAAATGGGATTATAATAATATACTAAACATAACTATTTGTACTACAGGACCAGACAAAAAAATTACATTGCTATTTGACAATGTAAAAGCTCTTAAAGGTGCTTTTTTTATTGGGTGTCTTTAAAAAGTGCTTAATTTTTCCTTTTTGAAAATGAATTTTTTTTTACCATGTCGATTTTCGCCACATATGCGTAAAGCGTGGTTTTCACGTTGTTCTATTCAATGTTTTCATAATTCATTAAAACACAATGCATTTAGGTGTACCGTACCATCGGTCCGTAGCGTATGAAAGTGCCAATCATTGTACTACTTGTTTAGTGAAATACTTGCGGGTCCGCATGTGCGTCTACTGAATTGGGTTTGGTGAGATTCTTGCTCTCTTATGTGCATCTCTGCTGCATTTTTCAAGATATTCTCAATTTCGACTTCATTTTCCACCCTCTGAAATCGAACTGAAAAATCCCTCGATCTTTTGTGGGTGGCTAATATAATGAAGAAAAAAAGTTCTTTGTCAAAAACTAGTTTTTTGTCATGATTATGTAAAGTCATCTAAAACTATTTTGTTAATGTATATAGTGCTTTAAAATATTTTTAGCTCTTAAGAAGTACTTAAAAGGTTCTTATTTTTTGTTGAAAGATTTGGCTACGCACCCTGATGAATCATACGAACTCATAAGTCCCAAATCTAGTGTATTACCCATTAAATTAGTTCTTTTTAAGCAATATACCCACTATCTATATAACGCCTCATAATTTTAATTTACGGAAATCATTAGATAGTAAGAGTATCTAGTAAGGTATTGTATTAAAATTGTGTATGTTGTCTGACCAACATATGTTGGATGTAAAATTAGCAGTAGTCTTAATCTCATAAATCACTAGTACTAAGCTTAATATATTTATTTCAGAGGATGTTAATGTTTGGGTGACATGGAAGGGCGTTTGTCCTCCAGACAACGCTATAGGAACTGTGCAGGTAAATATTTATTTTCATCCAACTTCTCTCTTTGCTATTCATTTATTTTTCGAGAAAGAAAAAAAAAGCTTTATTGTATTCATTTATTTTAACGAGTCTTGGTACGATCCTTCTCTAGGTCAAATATTTATGTAAAACATGGATGAGCAAAGTATTCTTTAGAGAAAGCGGCTCTCAAGATGGGCCTCAGAATAAACGAGAGCAAAACAAACCTGTACTAAAACAAGCTTCAATAACTCCCATTTAGAAATGGAAGAATATAAATTTGAGGTTGTTGACTTACTTGGGTTCTGTAATCAACAACAACAGGAACAATATACCACAATGGAAATACAAATAAGAATTACTATAGCCAATAAATGTTTCGAATATACATCAAATCTAATGTAATTTATAGAAAAACAAAAGTTTTATTCTATAAATCTCAAGATCAATTTTTACAGATGCTTGTGAAGCCTGTCTTGTACGGATGAGGCTATGTTGGGTACCTTTGAGAGAAAGGTCTTGAGTAGCATTTTTTGAGGAATTCAAAAAAATGGCGTGTGGCTTAGAAGATCAAATCTAGAGCTTTATCACTCATATAATGAACCTGACATCATTAACTTTATTAAACGACAAAGAATAAAAATGGCAGGCCACGTTATCAGAATAGACCAGTAATTATCATGTAAAAAAGAAAAAACTTCAACGTTAACATGTTTTTATATAATAATCATAATCATATGCCATTAAAAGTAAAGCATTCCCGCAAACAGCCCGCTGAAATTTCGATATCAATGGTATGATTGTGGCAATGTGAACAACAGTCTCCTTCTAGTTTTCAGTGTTTCATTTTTGCATTAAAATTAATTAGGTTTCAGAAAAAAAATTATTTTTCATATTTAATCAATATATATATATAGTATAAGCAAAGAAGTTATGGGGTAAAAAACACAGTTTTGAGGTGAAAAGTTTATTTAACTAATAAAAAATACTTTTCTTAATTTTTAAAGGTATTTACTAGTAATAGTTATTTATCATCCATTCTTAATATTATTCTCTACTATTATAATGACTTGGTTTTTATTATTATTCCTAATTTGAGGATTATAACTAAAAGTGAATTTCTTTTATTATATGAAGTAATTTTGTAATATTACATTATTACGTAAAATTTAAGAAAAACTTATTAAAAAGAGCATGTAACATCGAAATGGAAAAATACCTTATAAAACACCCTGTAATTTTGAAATTCCTATGAAACTAAGCTTTCGCCATTTTTTATTACTTGTTAAATTGTAGTTCATTTACGTCGCACTGGATCTGCACAATGGGCTATTGGCGACGGTCTGGAAAACATCGCTGAGGATGATCCGAAGACATGCCATCACAATTTTGATGAAACGAGGACCCATACCGCACACCCTCGTTCCCTACGCAGACTGATCCAAGTGGTCACCCACCCGCTCACAGACTGCAGCCAGTGATGCTTGGCTGCTGGAAACCGTGTCTTAACTATCAGTTCACTGCGGGACTTACTTGTTAAATAAATTTGTTTATATTACTTAATGTACGTTTAGTCAGTTAGTTATTGCCTCGTTTTAATCAGTTTTAATCAAAAATAATTTGAAAAAACCGCTTAACTTGTTTAATATTAATAATTGTCTTTTAAACTGATTTAATATATTTTAAATATATGTATAAATAAAATTAAAATTCTAAAGAACTTAATAATAAACAAAAGATTGAAATCTTTTGCGTTTTATTAAATTCTTTTAATGAAAATTTACTTTAACCAAAATATGTTTTAAAAATTTTAAAAGTGAGTTTCGAAATATTATAAAATAAAGAGAAGACGATTCCTATGAAACAGCAAGTTTTATTTACTTCTAATATGGGTTCTTTAAAATAAAGTAAAAAAAGAAAAAGAAAAGAATAAACAGGTGTAAAAGATGCTTTCTGGATTTAGAAATCTTTCTTCAAGTTATTTTTCGTTCTACTTTGTTTATTTTTCATGACGTGATAACAATTTCGAATTACTTATATGTATGACAAGGTTAAATCGTACGAAAACATATTAAAATTTTAAAGTTTGATATTTTATTTTTGTCGTGAATCCGAATGACACTATTTTAAGAGTTTAGAGGCATTTTCGTGTTCTATTCGTATTCTATTTCGTATCTATCTATGCCAGAATTTACCAAGCGTCCAGCTAAAAATGTCCTTTAAAAAATGTTCTACTTGAAAGTGGTTTTTAATTTTTCCTATTCTCTCGAGTTGTCGCTTTATGCGAATGTTCATTTACACAGACTATCATTTTTTTAACCTATGCAAATGATTGTTTACACAGACGATTATTTTTTAAATCATTTTATTACATTCGACATGTAATTTCGCAAAGACTAATGCAAAAAAAATGTTTCCTTGAATCTTGAATAATTTTTGAGTTCTATTATTATTTTCTAAAATTTCACTTTTTCAAAAAAAGAAAAGAAAGACATTTTCTGACAGGTTTATTATTAGCATTTTACCAGCTGAATTCGCGGTGTGTAATATACAGAATACAAAATTTTATTGAAAAATGACGATGTAGGCATTGATAAGGTACAGAGATTCGAATTTCGTGTCGAATGTTTTAGAAAGTTACCGCTTGGAGGTACGATCGATAGAACCGCCATTTCAATCTTCTCTCGGATGTTGGTATTTTGGTGGGCGAGACGTTATGGCGGCCCCTCTTCTTCAACTAATTCTACACTTAGAAGAAGTAAGCATTCTCTTAATTAAATTAAATATTATATTACCTTCACGTCATACCGCCTTATTGCTCTTGAAAAACCCTTAAGTTACTATCGTTTTTTTCAAGTCTGACATTTTCATTTAGATCTTGAAAATTGATATCATATTAATGCGTGTTCAAGTCCATTATCTTAGCTTTTATTTATTTACAAATTGAGAGTTCTTAAGACTTGAATTTTCCCTCCTGTTAGTTGACTGATATTTCATTGTTTGTAAATTTTAATTTTCACTTGCACTAAAAATAAATAAATAAAAAAAACTAAATAAAGAAATTTAAAAAAAAAATAAAGAAATTTTAAAAAAAAACTTGAATATATAAAAACTTACGGAATGATGAAAATTAAATTTAAAAATGAATATTTGTTTATTGATTGAATTAATCGAATTAAAAAATTAGTTTGTACGCGGAAGGGTTAATTTAATTAGCATGATTTATATTATTATTTCAGATTTTTCGGAATCACAATGTACGATACCTATATAATTATTATTGGTATGTGTGCATGCATATAAATGATATATTTTCAATTTGCTGTTTATTTTCAATTTCGTGTTTATTTTCAATTTCCGTTTTTTAATTTGACAGCAAATTGAATGAAAAGTATCAGAATATTTAGTTTTCATCATTTAAATTATTGAAAAGTTGTAAACACAATAGCAAAAAAAGCCGTATGTGAAACGAAAACTGGTTTAGAAATATGCGTCTTGTAATTAAAATTTAATAAAATCATATGAAATTTAAAGTTACCTAACAGGCTAATTAAAGAGCTAAAAGCTGTTTTTAGAAAACGGCATTTGAAGTTTTTAAATACTTATTTCATCGATCAATGCGATATTTCACAAATAGTCATTTAGCTTATTTTAAAAAAAAAAATTTGATAAGCAGTTTTCATTAGTTATATGTATTGTGAGAAGTGTATTCAATTCTTTTCAATTAAGATGTTACATTTTTATTCTTTTTCAAAGTTTTTCTTTTAATCTATTTCTAAAATATTTTTTTACACATGTTAATAAATTTTTTTTTTAACGTAAAAGCTTGACAAGAAATTAGTACTGACCTTTTGTGAAATTTAAAATAAGTATTCATTGTTAGATCACCTATCATAATTGTGCTTATTGGATACCTGCAAGAGACGTCACGTGTGGGGTAGTAAAACTGATTCAACGCAATAATAAATTAAAGCCGTTAGCACGTAATATACTGCGTTGTCATTAGTTGCAAGTACCCAACTAGGTACCTGTAAGCGACGTCACGAGTGGGTAAACTGTGGCATTTGTTTATGTCACGATTCAGCAGCCAATCAGGTTCGACGCACACGCGTAACGTCGCTTGCAGGCATCTATTTAAATCTGTTTAAAAACTTATTCCAGCATGATAAAAAACCAAAATATAATAGCTGTTACACCGAAGTGAAGCATCACTGGCTACGGTCAATATGCCAAGCACAACCATGCGATTTCAGCTGTTATCTTCTCTAGTACCTAATTAACAGTTTTTCGTCCCGCAGTGGACTAATCGTAAAGACGCGATTCCCAGTACTACACCAAAGTCAAGCATCACTGGCTGCGGTCAGTAAGCGAGTGAGTGACCACTTTGGTCTGCCTGCGTAAGGTCCGAGGGTGCGCGGTATCGGTCCTCGTTAAATTGTTCTATTGTAAAGTGCTCTCAGGTCACCGAACTACCAAAGCAGGGGAGCCATCCCCTTTGCAAAGGATTAAAATGTCTTTGGATCATCGTCGGGGACAGTCGCCCATTGTGCAACTCTAGTGCGACGTAAATAAAGTGCCTACCTATCTAATAGTTTTTCGGAATATTAGTTTTAGTAACCTATTGAACGGAATATATCGCGTAACAAATAATCTTCACGGTTTGACACATGTAGCATTAAACTTTCAATAATTAGTGATTCTAGTTTTTTTTTCTTTTTTTTTCTTCAAAATATAGTGATATTTGATTGATTTATTGAAGCATTTGTGTGTAATATGTCGATAAAATATTTTGAGGTTGAGAAAAAAATCAGAAAAGTGTTTTGTTGATTTTTGTATATGTGCATTTTTTTTATAATACTTTTTTTTTTCAGAACATCGATTTATTCTTTAATTTTTCGAAAATAGACAATTACATTAATATGATCAATTCCGATTATCAAATTTCATTTCATTGTTTTACTTTTTTATCATTGAAAACTTAAAGTACCAGAAACTTTGAAAACTTAAAGCAAAATGAAAACGCATACAGCATACGAAAATACAAAATTTGAGCGAAATCGGTCAAATAGTTTGAATTATAAAATTTCGAAAAAGGTGTATTTTTAAATCTGATAATTTCTTCCGATCTCGTTTGTATTTTGTCATTTAAAATTACTCAGTTTAAAAAAAAAAAATTTAAAATTTGCATGCCATACAATTCAAAAAATGTTCGAACCTTATTTAATAAAACAATAACAAAACAATAATTATTAAAATCTATTTTTTACATTGGGATAAATAAATTTTATTAAAGCTTGTTTTTTTCCCTTCTAATTCGTTTAAAAACTTACCGAGATTAGGACTTCTCGACTGACTGAACTAATCGGAAAACTTTTTCCAGATTGCGGCTACTTTCGANCATTGGGATAAATAAATTTTATTAAAGCGTGTTTTTTTTTTTTCCTTCTAATTCGTTTAAAAACTTACCGAGATTAGGACTTCTCGACTGACTGAACTAATCGGAAAACTTTTTCCAGATTGCGGCTACTTTCGAAGTTCTGATAGCCGAAAATTGGTCGAAAAAATAATGTGTTTATACACAGATAGTGAAGCATGATTTCTTTTAAAAGTATGAATTTATATTCTGACTGCAACCCTGTCGTCCCCGCAGGAAAGTTTCTAAATTAAGCTGGTATTTACATGTACTAAAATTGCTATTTTGATGACTCTAGCTGAACGCCGTAAATATACTAATTAATTTACGTAACCAAACTCAAATAACGCGTTTTTTCTTCTTACTTACTTTCTTTTTCTTCTTCTTTTTTTTTGCAGGAAAAGTTCTGTTTTTAATGCTAAAATGAAATGAGCTAGATGAAATTCTGTTTTTAATGCTATTTTATTTTTACATTTTTTGTCGTATCTCTCGGAAGTTATAATATGAATGGAAAATATTTTGATTTGAACAGTTACATATAGCATTTATATATGCAAAGATATTTTTGGGGAAAAGTAATTTTAATTTTTTTTTTCCTTATTTAATTTGTTAATGTCAACACAGGCAAAACCTGATGTTAAATTAAATTATTTCGAATACACAAAATTGAAACCAATCGGCTGAATAAAATGTTTTTATAATTTTTATAAAGGACTATGTCTTTTAATTTTTTTTCCTGGAAATATTTTACCAATTTATTTAAATTTTAGTTTTTTTTTCTCGATAAACTTCGTTAAAATTAACGAAATATTATTTTTGTTTTATATTTGTATTATTTATTTATTTTTTGAATTACTTTAAATGTCTGGCATAATTTTACTGTTATAGTATGTTTGTTAAAAGTTTCATCTAAATTAACATTTTCTTTTAGGAATAGGATTAAGTTTAAAATGAATCACTACTTACACAGTATTGTGCAAATAAAATTTAATGGAATTTAATGTTATAAATCAAATTATGGAAACAATTGACATATTATGGTGACATATTCTAGTGCGGTTTTTATTTTCTTATTTCGTTTTAAAGTAAAATTGTGTTGGATGACAATATTTTCCTCTTTATAGTTGTGAAGCAGAGGTTTAAAAATTAAGTAAAATTTGAACGTTAATTTGCAATTTTTTTTTTTTTTTTAATNATTTATTTTTTGAATTACTTTAAATGTCTGGCATAATTTTACTGTTATAGTATGTTTGTTAAAAGTTTCATCTAAATTAACATTTTCTTTTAGGAATAGGATTAAGTTTAAAATGAATCACTACTTACACAGTATTGTGCAAATAAAATTTAATGTTATAAATCTAATTATAGAAACAATTAACATATTATGGTTTTATAGAATCGTTTCCATCATTCTTATTCTAGTGCGGTTTTTATTTTCTAATTTCGTTTTAAAATAAAATTGTGTTAGATGACAATATTTTCCTCTTTATAGTTCTGAAGCAAAGGTTTAAAAATTAAGTAAAATTTGAACGTTAATTTGCAAAAAAAAAAAAATTTTTTGTGAGAAAAGCTTTCAGAAAATTTGCAATAACACTTTTTGTTTTTTATCGATCCAGAAAATGTTTGGAAATTAGAATTTTCTTTTTTTGTGAAATAACTATTGATCTTTCTTCACATTTCATTTTTGGCTTAAATTTTCCTGCTATATAAAATATATATAGTGTAGTGTTTCACAATTAATACCTTCAAGTTTTTTTTTTTTAAATTCTTGAAAAATTGCATTTAAAAAAAGTGCATACTTTAGGAGTCGTAAATTGATAATCAACTCTATCAAAATCGAAACATCTAAACCTGTTTGATTGCTGTAGAAAACACGGATGAGTAGAATGAAGATTATTAGAGTCACCACCAAGCAATCCTGCAATCAAACTGGTTTTGATGTTTTTCCTCTTCTCGTCTTCCTTCCTGTTTCTAATTTTTTTACTTTCATTTGTGACAAGATGAGCGGTTATTATTGAACACCATGTATATTTTTAATCCTCTAAAACTTTTTATTATTTGTAGGGAGTAATAACAACAACAGTGGGCGAGGATGGATGAAAAAGTATGTGATAGCATGTCTTGTGTGCGGAGGTTTGTCCATCGCCCATGGCATAGTCTTTGTCATCATTTACCTTCTCCTCCGCTCCTATACTTCATCCCTACAATTCTTCGAGACAATACCCACCTATGTTCCAGGAATTGTGGTAAATATTTACTCACATTTTGATCATTGAATATGAATATAATGTTGGATTCAAGAATTGTGGATGTTGAAACCCAAATTTTTTAAATTACATTTTAAAAAGTAAGTTGTATGGGTGTCCTATTTACACTGTCAGTTTTTTTAAATAAATAATTGCAGAGATTTATGGGGCTAGTAATTATTTTTTCTGCTTTAATACCTGTCTTAATCTTTAACCTAACAATTTCCCAATGGGTGTCGCTGTTAATTTTGTTGTTATTTTTCCTGGCTGTATTTTGACATATAAAAATTTTATTTTCAGATTAATATATGTGATTGTGGTTGATGGGTATTTCAAATATAACATGAAATAATTTTCTTTAATTTAACCGTTAACTGGCAGAGATAACTTTGAAAAAACTTAGGAACTAAAACAGAAACTCGGAAAGAGAAAATGTACGACCTGTCACAAGAGTACATGAACTTTTTCCTGTTAAAATTTTTTAAATATCATCATTCTTGACATTTTATTTACATATCATAATTTATTATGAATTATTTTAAGTTAAAATAATTAAATTGAGAGTATTTTTGGCATACTCTTTAATTTTATGTGGATTTATAAATTAAATAAAAGTGAAATATAAGCATTGCTGAAAGATATTTATAGGAGCTATAATTGTATGTTATATATATTTTTCTTGTCTCTATTTTTTTTCACTCATTGTGATAATACTGCAGTGGTTTTACTACATCTTTTTAAATTTTTTAATGCTTTTGTCTAAGAATTACTAACCAATTTGGTTATATTTGTGGAACTGATTCGGTTTTGTCTAAAATGAAATTAATGAAAAATTTATTTTACTTCTATTTGAATGGATACAGTTCTCTGTAGAAAATTCTGAAATATTTAAAATACAAAATGCTTGTTCATATTTTTTTTTTTTAATTTCTTTGATGATAATCAAACTTTCTCTAATTTCAGACTTTAAAAAAAAATGTGTGTGTGTGCTACTCAGGGTTGGCAGGTTTTTGACATGTGACAGTTTTTGACAGTTTAAACCATGGTTTAAACCGTCACGTCAAAAACCTCACTGTCAAAAATGTCGAAAATGTCAAAAACCTATATTCATATGTGAAATTTAATTAATACATAAAATTTATATATTTTTTANTAAAATTTTATTTTTGTATCCCTTAAGAAACGATAAATCCACATTTTTACCATATTTTTGTGTTGATTTTTAAATATAACTTTTAATTTTTCACAAATTATGTCTAAATTTTCACAAAATAGGTACCTCTCAGAAAAACCTAGACAGACCCCTGCTTCTATTTGAATGGATACAGTTCTCTGTAGAAAATTCTGAAATATTTAAGATACAAAATGCTTGTTCATATTTTTTTTTTAATTTCTTTGATGATAATCAAACTTTCACTAATTTCAGACTTTAAAAAAAAATGTGTGTGTGCTACTTATTTTTTAATTTATGCTTACTTTATTTTTAGTTTATTATAACTGGCCTCATTTTAACATGTTTTATCAAGCGAAGGAATCGATATGCATTTCTGGTAAGTTTTTATTTCATTGATTTTTTTTTAATATTTATAATTGTTTTAAATATTATATTTTTTATGTACATTATAAGTGGCATAGTTAAAATATGTGCATGTTTATCTCCTTCTGATATACCTATTCTTAATTGTGACAAGGGACTTAGTCTTGGTGGAAAAGAACTTTTTTTCTTGTCACTTGAGGCTGTTTTCTCACTCAGGCGATTCAATAATGCCCTGTAATATTGATAGATTTATTTTTTTTAAGATAGTCAATGAACAAAACAGCAAGCACGTCCCAAATAATTGAAGCCATAACCTTTTGAGTTTTTGGATGACTTCAACACTAAACATACCAACACTTAATATATACCTGTTTCTACCATAGTCGATCAAACGACCGGACTTTATGTTTCTTGATTGAATATGGATGTTAGGAAGGAAACAAACTAAAAAAACTTTATTATAATTAAACAAAAAGCTGGGGCAGACAAAGAAGGTGATCGCCAATTTTTATGTATTGCAAACACAAGAAATAAGAATATTTAATTCATTGCTCAGCGCATTTTTTTACATATACAGGGTATTTCCATAGTATATTTTCCGCCAACCTATTTCTTCTAATTATTATTATAATCAATATTATATCTACTAAGAACTTGTGATGTCTTGATTGGTTCGACATTTTTCTGTGTCAAAACTAGCAGTTAGTTAGAAATGAAGTAAATCTATCAAAATAAAATATAAGCTGCTTACCAAAACATATAGTTTTTGTCACTTTTTCTGACACAAAATTGCCATTCTAAAATTTAAGGTACTCTCTTGAAATTTGAATTCACAGTTAGTCTGATTGAACTAACTGCACAACAGTCTTTGGAGAAATGTACAACTAATGTAAACTAGCAATTGTTCTCCCGGTCGTGGTAGAAATAGGTATACGACAAGTATTATTGGAAGAAAAAATAATAATAATAGACTATTACCTGTACATAATTGTTAATAAAAGTCAAATGTGCAAAAACGATAAGATGATAAGCGCTTTTTCGATGCAATCGTTCTTAAACGGTCATTTGACCGGTTATGGTATGTTTAGTGTTAACCAGCTGTTGCCCACTCAGCTGAAGATATTTTTGATTCAGGTTTGTAGTAGTGGATCCATGTTTCAGCCACTGTGACATACCGACACAGATAATCCTTTTTATATAGCTTTAACAGTTCCAAACAATGTTTTGAACTGTCTACTCATTGTTCTTTTTTGTCGGGTGTGTGTAAACGCAACACCCATTTCGAAAACACCTTGTGCAGGCTCTAATTTTCATGTAAAATTGTAAACACTCTAGGTTCTGATGGAACGCTAGATATACGGGGGCACCAAACAACAACCAGATTTAATGTTCTGTAAATTATTTATGTTCTCCTTTTCTAAAGCATTGTTTGCTTTAAAAATATATTTATAGGTTATTTTTAAATAAATATATATTATGAGTTCAAATTTTGTGTGAATTGAGCCTGTGTGTCAATTTAATATAATGTGAATTTGCTGAAGTAAATATTAATATTTTATGCAGGACGTAGTTCTATTTCATCTCAAAATGCAATTAAAGCCAAAAATATATTTTTAGAATGCAATTTTTTTTCTTCAAATTTTAAGTAATTTATTTTAGAAGATTTATCACACAAAAATTAGCTGCATATGAGAAATATGTAATCCTTCTTGGATTCATATTTAGTTTTGATTGGATGATATCTGAACAATTATGCTTAATGTGTTAATTTAAATTGGCTGTAAATTTTTGACTTTTTATATATTTATTAGTAATTGATTAAAAAATATAGAGCTCAATATTAATAAAATTTCAAAGGGTTAAAACTATATGCTAATAATAGCTTGCAGGTTTCAATATTTTTGCATGTTAAGTTTAATAGTTTATTACGCTTCTTCCCTCATAAAGAACCCGTTCTGGGCAAACTGGAATCGCTATTTTTTCTACTTTTAAAATTAAGTGTTTAACTTATTGAATAATGCTAAACAATGATTATTTATATTATTTATTGCATGAAATATAATAAATGAAATATTAAGTTATACTAAGTGCTTTTGAGAACTGAAATTAAAATATACTTACAGAAATAAAAAAGTATTTATTAAATTTTTTTTTTGTTATTTAAACTCATAAATTTGATTTAGAAAAATATGTTTGAATAAATTTGATGCTATGATTTTAAGTGTGATTAGATTATTGCAAGTGAGAATTGATAACAAAATCACGCAAATATATAATAATTTATCTGAACCAAATTTTATTTGCAAATATCTTTTATTCCTACCTAATATTTCTTTACGAATTCCTAATCAATCAAATATTATTTTAAGGTTTATCTTCCTTACTTATTTGTATAAAAAAAAATCGAGAAAAACTTATCTTAAAAAGCTCGTGGAAATTTTCATATTATCCATTATAAGGTGTATTTTTATTACAAATCAGAAGATATTTTAATTTAAAGAAATATTTTATTAAAACTCAATGTTGTAAATTGAATTAATGACTTGAAACAATATTAATAAGCAATATTTTACATAGAGTTGTAAACAGTATTCAAGATTTTAATAAAATTAACATATTTGATAATTTTTAAACAATAACTACCTCTTGTTTAATTGTATAAATTGTCTTGTATTCTAAATGTTAAGTAGTGTTTTGCTGATAGTTTGCAAAATAATTCATTTATGTAAAAATTAAATTCTATAGTTCAGTATTTTTTTAGTTCAAAATTAAATTTTATAATTTCACTAAAATATCAATTTTTTTTAAAAAAAAAATCATTTTTATTGTTTCAAATAAGAAGCAGAAAAAAAACTGTTTAAGCAAAATAACCAATGATTTTAAACTTACATTAAAAAAAAACTCATTTATTTTAAACAAAATAGTTTTATAGTTTTTTTCAACTAAGATATGAAATTTCTAGTTTAACTTTATCACTTACATTAAAGTTATAAAATTAATAGAGAAAACAAATTTAAGAAATTTTGAACTTGTTCCCTGTGCTCATTCATTTTTTCAATTTTATCCAGTTTATATACACCATTGTCTTTGAAAAAAATAATTTTTTCTTAAAAAGTGCTTAACCTTCACTTAACATAAAGTCTACTTTAGACATAACACAACGCATGCCTTTTTATATTACTTTTTTAATGCAACAATGTAGCTCTTCTATTTATAGTTTTTTGAGATATTTTTTCTGGAATAGATATATTTTAAGTTTTGATGTTTCTTTTTGAAATTTAAGAATATATTATTTCCTGAACTATAAACAAGACAAATAATGGTTACATGCTTTAAAAAGGATCTAAAGTTATAAAAACCCTGATTTTGAGTATTTACCCAAGACAGGGGTAAATACCTATTTATAAATACTCTACCCACTGGGTAATTAGCTGACCTACATCTTTAGACCTCAGCACNTCTGTTGTTCTTAAAGTTTCTGAACAATACTGGTAAACAGGGAAGCTAGATAATGGGGCAGGTGTTGAAAATAATAAAAGATCCAGGAAGAAAAGTGAAGCGGATTTTATTCTAAATGGCGCAAATGAGAAATTTTTTTCAAAATGCGAGAAATTCGCAAATTTTGAAATTGGTTTATAAAATGCGCTAATTTCTCGAGGTAATCATTTTTTAATGCGAGGATATAAAAAAATATGCGAGATTCTCGCGTTCTCGCACTGTAGTGAAAACACTGCCTCAGCACCAATCCAAAGGGATGGTAGCCATTTATGTTTTTAGGTTTCATGTTTCGTTCTGTATTTTGTTACAAAATAGCTTATTTCTAATGACTATTTTTTAAATTCAATCTATTAACTTTAAAAGTAATAGCGATATGCAATCAAACCAGTGAAAAAGTTTGTATGATATCTTTCAGTTACTGTTATCTATCAGCAACTAAATTTTGTTCCCCTGCTAAATTTAGGAAATGATTGAATAAGTTGCTGTTTAAGTTGTTCAAAGTTGCTTTGTCTTTTAGATTAAAATGGCTGGTGGCTGCTGCCTTGTTTGTGCCCTTCTTTGTGTTGTCATCACGGTGACAACAACCGTCGTTCACATGAATCGCCTTCAGACGCTGCACGAGTGCGTGTATACTCCTCAATCTAAGACGTGCATGTGTATTTCTGCAGTTGGAGACCACGATAACCAAGAAAGTTAGTTCTATTCTTTTAGAATTTTTATAAGTGTTGAAATTTATAAACTTATTCTTGAATGGACAATTACAACATCTCTGAAAGTTTTATATTTTCAGTCCTATCCTATTGGAAATTTTCTCCTGAATTTCACTATGGTTGGAAATTATTTTTATTCATGTAGTTTAATTTCTCTTTCTGAAATATAGCATTTACAAAGTATGGTTATTATTAATTTATCATCCTATTTTTGCTTATAAAAAATTCTGTTAGTGCTTGTAAAGAAGAATTCCAAAATGTAAATTAATGCATGTAAAATGTTTTACAAACTGAATAAGAAATAATTGGAAAAACCACTGGCAAAGTTGTTATTGCCAAAAAGCAAAATATTGCTTTCACAAATCTAGTCCATTGAAAAATTTCAGTCCATTAGCATCATCCCCGCAGTCTAAATGCTTGTGCTCAAAACTTTATTTGATATAATTTAAATTTGTCACATAAAAGCAGTGAATCATTTAATCTAGACGTTTTTGTTTGACTAAAGCTAAAGAATTAGAAACAAAAACCTTCATGCAAAATAAACATAATTTTTAATGCACTTTTTTATTATTTATGAAATAATAAAATTGACAGAAAAGTTGATATCAACATTCTTTGATTAAATAGAAATTTTTGAGTATAAAATGGGTTGTACCCATGTAATTTTTGTACCTTTTCATTATTTTCACCTGTTGTTTCATAAATATTAATATAGAATATATATGATATACGACCTTAAAAATATTAAAATTTGTATTGATTCAATTTCATAAAACTTAATTAAAAACTAATATTATAAATTGCATACAGCTAAATAATGGTATTAATTCAATAACACTAAAGTTATGCATTTTTATATTACAGACAAGCAAAGGGGGAATAATCTCTTTTTAACAAATATTACTAAAATAAATGTTGTGTGATCATTTGCCTATTAAGTGGAGTAGTAAAATAATATAAAAGCAAAGTGAAAGTATTCATTCTTTTCTTTTTTTGTTTTGTTATTATCTTAGGAAATTTAAGGAATAAAAGTGTATATTTCTAAATTGTTTATTAGAAACATTAATAGTTAAATCCTATCAAGTACTTTGGAATGGATAAATTAATTTTAATTATGAGCTTAAAATATTATTCAACATATTGCTTTAAAAAAAAACATGTTTTAAACAAATAAAAAAATCTATTTTAAACAAATAAAAAAACATTTGTTTTAAACTCTGTTTGAGTATGCAAAGATTTTTTAATCCGTGGAAATTTTGTTTCAAATATTGTTGAATTACCTAATTATGAATTTTGTAATTGAACATTGCATTGTTATTATTAGAAAACATATATCTATGTATACTATTTTTAGTTTTCTCTTTAAATGAGTTTTTTATAAGTATGAGTTTTTTCTTTAAATGAGAATTTAAAATAAAAACTGTATTGTTCAAAATATGATTTTCAGAATTTAGAGTAAAAATTTGTACACTGTTTATATTTTTCTAATTGCCCTTTCCTACCTTGTTACAGCACACCGCTTTGTTTTCAATAGTACGCCAAATTGTGAAGTTGTTCACGGAAGTTTATATTCCTGTTTGCGTGTGCTCTTCAGTTTCTCTGTTTTAGGAATACTTTTGTGCATTTCTTGTTCTATGTTGCTATACCAACTTCTTAACCATGAAAAGAAACGACTCTATTGGGAACAGGTCAGTAAGCTTCTTCTCTCATTCAACACCTCATATCTTATTTTACCCAGTTTATACACTTGGTTTATGTCACTGCATTTTTGTAAATGCAAAAGTATATTTTATGAATTTTTTCAAAATTTATTTCTTATGTACTGTTGAAAAAAACTATTCCTTTAATGTAACCGTTCATTGCCAATTTAGTCAGCTCAATCAAACCCAATTTTAAAAACAGCGATTCTCCATAAACTGCATTAACTTTACTATATCTCTGAAGCAAACCAAAATTGATAGATTTGTTGGATTTATTTATAATGCTCCTTGATCAATTTAAAATTTTCTTTTTAAATAATAAATACTAATTTACACAACTGGTTTCATGGCACTAATATTAACTATATATTGGTAAATGCAAAAGTATAATATATGATTTTTTTTTTTAATTTCCATATTCATTTCTTATGGGCTGTTTAAAAAAATATTCCTTTAATGTAAATGTTCATTGCCAATTTAGTCTGCTCTATCAAATATAATACAAGACCTGTGGAACCCAATTTTAAAAAAACTGCAATTCTCCATAAACCGCGTGGACTTCACTATATCTCAAAAGTGAACCAAAATTGATAAATGTGTTGGATTTATTTATAATGCTCCTTAATCAATTTCAAATTTTCTTTTTAAGTAAAAATAATTGTAACTAAATAATAAAATAATTTCCTACATTATAAAAAAATATTATTTTTCTGCTTATAAATTTTATGCATTAGATAATTTATTAAAAGGTAATTTAATTCTTTGATCCAAAAAACTATACATTATATAGTTTAATAAACTATACATAGATAGTTTCTAATTAAATTCACTTCAAAATTATTAAAAATATTTTATTTAATGCATTAAAATAAAGTTAAATGCTTGTGAAGTGTAAAAGGTTTTCCTTTTATAAATCTTTCTCCACTTCTAAAAAGTACAGCAGTAGGTGACCATTTTTTGTTGAATGTTATAGTTTCAAGCACAACTCAGCAATCCACCTCCATAATATAAGGCTGGAGAAAATATCATCCCTGTATCAATTGACAATGTTCTTTGCAGCTAGTTCTCTCTACATAAATTAATCACTTAAACTTAAAACACATCAAAAATCGTCGAGGGAAAGTGAAAAATAAGTCATTTACTCGTCCCTTAGGACATGTAACTTTCACACATGGGGGGATATCCAAACATCAGATGTATATAAGCAAATTAATAACCATGCTTTAAATACCTACTTAAAAAAATACTCCTCCTTATGTCGTGTATAAGCGATAATCGATAAATATTGCGAAACTTACACATGAAACATAATAGTGGAAAAAGCAGTGCCAAAATATAAAAATTGAAAAAGACTACACTTGTCTTTCACTTAGTTTTATGAGCTGAGAGTGAAATTGAATCCTTACGTAGCCCAGCTTGGTTTTTTAAACATAGTGCTTTCTGCCAAGTTAAACAGTTGCTTACATCTATACATAATGGTAATTGAAAAGCCTAGCGGAGGAGAGACAGGGAAGCAAAAACAGGTAAGGGCTGATGATATGACGTTAATCCTTGCTGAAATGCTTTTGGAGAAAAGAGGTGGTACAATTTTATTTCCAAGCATAGCATTATTACAAATAAAAAATATTCAAATTAAAATTTACAAGCAAAAAGCATTTTTTTTCCAGCTTACACATGAATGAGCTTATATTCGGAAATGTACGATAATTTTATTCATAATTTCTTAAAGCATTATTAACCCGTCTAGCTTCAACAACACTGCCAAGTTCAGTTGACATGAAGTCTAGAAAACTTACTTTGTTTTGGGAACATCTATAAGACTTTAATTATTTTAATTTTTTACAGCTTGAGCTAAGGCGGAGATTTCTTTATCAACGTCACTCTCATCACAGTGTTTGTGGATGTTACGACGAGTTATATCCGTGGCACATTTGGGACATGATTGATTACAGACTTCTGGCATCTCATAATAATATGGCGAGTATAGGCAACGAAGAAGAGCAGTGTTCTCCTACTAACTCTGCCTTCAGGGATCAAGCATCCAGATCGGGAAATCGCCCGTCTGGCTGGAATTGGCTTCCATGGCAAAGGCAAATGACGGAAAGAACTCAAAATGAAATTGAGGATACACCTACTCAAGCTAACTTCATGCAACGATTGATGTCTCGGGAATCTTGGAATCAACATCATACGAGTGCCAGCAATGAGGATGTAGATTCTCTTCCCTGGCGGAGTGAATGCATTCACATTTTCCGCTCCCGGAACACTAGTTGCTTTCCTCCGTCATCTCACTTTGGAATTCGCTCTAGAAATTCACCGTATGGGCGGCCGCAAGTCAGTCATCGGAGAACCAGGTCCAATGATGGAATATTTCATCATTTGCATTTAAATTCCAGTCCGCGTTATGCCCAGCCTTACTCCTTAGTGGACCCATGCAACTTTTCAGGATATGAAGTACCACGTTATATGTGGGGACCACCGCCTCCCTATTCTCAACCACGTTCAGCTGAAAACATAGTGCTCTATGATGAAAATCAGTGCAGAAGATCTGGTATCGAGCAGCTGAGGAGCATATCTCACTGCGACCCAGTTCTCACTGGTTTAGAATTGGAGCAAGTAGGCAATGGATCGATGTCTTCGAAGATGAGTACGCCTTTATCCGAAAGACGTTTTGTGTGCCATAATTTCACTTCAGATGGCATCACTTTAACTATTGGTGGAAATTATACCAACATGTGCTCGCAGAATACTGTACCTAGAGAACATAAGAATGAAGAAACCTGTATAGTTGAAGTACATGTGCCATATTTACTTCAAAAGAAAGATGTATTTTTCAACACATTACCTGCGAGAAACTGTAAGAAAAAAAATATTAATCCATTTAAATCACTTTCAAATATACCATTAGGACTATCTCGAAAAATTAATGTCCAGAAAAGTGAAAAGTCTGACCCAGGTCAACTCTCTGTGATCAAAGCTGCATGTGATCTCCAAGAAAATACTGTATCACTTTACCAAGGTACAAATGTCAACAGTGTGGAAACTTGTATCAATCGCTCTAGCGGATTGAGAAGTTTATCCACCCAACTGTTCTGTGATGAACCCATCTTGAACAATATGACTGTAGACATGGATGCTACACCCAGTTCTGTGAGTTACCAACCCACCCTGGTGGAAGTGCCATCAGATTTAAAGTCCGGTCTTGTGATAGCCACTAGCCCCTCCACCCCCGTGACTGAAAATGTCACACTGACTAACAAAATTTATGCCCAGTCAATGCCTAATTTAAATATGTCCAACTCTTCACTCCCCTGCCATATTCCTAGAGCCCCTTCTAGCGGCAACACATCTACATCTCAAGACTTTGCAGATTTTGAGGATGACAGCTCTCCCATAATTCTGTGCAGCCCGGTATCATCACTGCCACCCTTGCCAGATGACGATGCGACAGACAGTTCCTCTTCATATCCTCCTTGTCTGTTCAGGTGCGACGCTGCATTTTCAAATGAATCGAGTTCAGCCGGTAACAGTGATTCGTCATCGTGTGGCGTCATTGTTATAGGAAATATACCAGAGTCTAAACTGGTCGCACCATCCATCATCATAAGCAAACGTCCTCCGACCGAGTGCCCGATCAGCTGCAACATCCGCCATCTTCATCGCTATCACCCGGATGGTGGTGATCAAAAATTTGTAGTTACTATTAAAAGTGTCAATGTGTGATAAGATATTTCAAGAAAAGGTAATGTGGCTTAGAGACATTGTATGGGACCACTGTTTTTTGAGCTGCAATTCATGCCTCCCATATTGGGTGGTTTCTTTTGCAATTCTTGAATATATTTTTCTAGCAAAAGAGCTGTAGTTTGAAAATAATTTTCTGACTAGTGACACTATTTGGCTACTCAGTTTTTTTTTTTTTTCAAAGTTTATTACTACTGCATTAGTTTCCTTGTTTTGTTGAATTTCAAACTTTTATTTGTTTTTGTAGATAGATGTTTTTTTTCCCCTTGAAATGAGATAATAAATTAATTTTTTAATGATGCAATTGCTTGTGATCCTTGCAATATCATTTATTTCAAATTACTAGTTATAAATGTCAAAACTTAAATGATGATCACAGATTAACAGTAGTAGTGGCTCAACTACCGTAATTGGCACCTGCACTGTCATACTCATAATGAAAGGAAGCTTTTTAACTAGTGTCTAGAGTCAAAATTCTTTTGCAATTTTCTGAAATTTCAAGAAGCAATCTTAAAGGTTTAAAAGACTCTTATTATTAGTTTATTCTGCAGGTACTAACCCATTTAATGAACATACTTAAATTCTACTTATACGGTTCTATTCTATAATTCTATTTTAACGGTTGCAAATCAAAATTACGTACAGTTAGAAAAAATTTGTCACTATTTTCAAATTAAAATTCTTAAACTTGCAATGTTTGTGCATTCTTAAGATTAAACAGAAAATCATTTTATTGCAACATTTGAAAAATAAACATTATTTTAAAATTGTTTTTGTTACATATTTATAAAAATCTTTAACAAAAAAAATTAGGGGATCTTCAATCTAAAGCTTTGTAGCGATTTGCATACAAAATACTAATACCACGAACCAAAACATTCTAGTCAAAGGCATTAGGAGAAATGTGGTGTGCTAACCTTGTAAACTCTGTGATTCACAAAAAGACTTAGTTTTAAACTTTTTTTTTTCGAGATTTTTACCCCTTCCATTAGCATTTTAACACTAAACATACCATTACCTGTCAAATGACCATTCAAGAACTTTTGCATCGAAAATACGCCTAGCATCTTATCGTTTTTTGCACATTTGACTTTTTCTAATAATTATATACAGTTAATATTCTATTATTATGTTTGTTTGTTTTTTTTGAGGGGGAGTATTTTGTTTGTTTCCAATAATACTTGTCATATACCTATTTCTACCGCAAACGGTCATTATTACGATGTTGCACATACGAATTACGATGTTCAATGTATTGCGTTTGATTAGTTGCAAAAACTGTTGCGTTGTAGTTCAATCAGAATAACTCTGATTTCAAATTTCAAGAAAGTACCTAAAATTTTAGATTGGCATTTTTTTTATCAGAAAAAGTGACAAAAACTCAATGTTTTGGTAAGTAGCTTATATTTTATTTTGGTAGCTTTACTTCATTTCTAACTAACTGTTAGTTTTCACCCAGAAAAATGTCGAAACAATCAAGACAGCGCAAGTTCTTAGAAGAAATAATATTAATTATAATTCTTATATATTCTTATAATTATAAGAACTATAGAAATAATAATTAGAAGAAATATGTTTTCGGAAAATGTACAATGGAATGAAATAAAAATTCTTATTCTTAGTGTTTGTAAATAATAAAAATTACAATTTTGTTAATTGGATCATAGAGCAAAACTGACTTATGTCGTAAATTAAAATTAGTTCATGATTTTATATTTAATTCATGGGTATTTATTCTAATTTTATATATTTTTAAAACTGATAAGGCTTTAACTGAAACATCAAACTGTATGAAACTAAACGAACTTTGTTTCCATTTAATAAAATGTTTTTGTGTCATTTAATTTTAAGAAGAACGTGAAGTAAATTTCGTTAATTTTAGATGAGCAAAAATTTCTTTAAAGGCAATTTGTTTCAGTGATCATTCTTTTCTCTAATCGGTTCTTGATAATATTTACCTTGTGGCGTTTTTTAATGATATAAGTTCTACTTCATAAATTTTTACTCTTTGTATTCCAATCGCACCTTTGAAACACCGCCAAAAGTAACCACTCTAAAATTAAAATTTTTTATATCTTAATGAATTTTAATAGTCATGTAAAAATACAGTATTATGTATTTTAAATGATTTAGTGCTTACAAAAGCACTCAGAGTGCAGAGGCTTAAATTTAATGCTGCCATTGCTCCGAAGTGATATTTTGGCAGTCTATAATCTATAGATAAAATTTATTTAAAAAAAATCCCATTTTTAAAAGTGGTCTAATCAAGATTCAATAAAATAAATGTGTAATTGTTATAAATGACTTTTGGCAGGGAATTACCTTTGTATAAACCATTCACTAAGCAAACACCCTGAATAACTTTAATTATAAATTATCGGATTTTTACAAAATTTAACCTTAGATATGCTAATTAGCTCAGACTATATTTTAAGTTACGAAAACATACTCTTTTTGGAAGATAATATCTTAAATAATTACTTTTATTATTTGCGATAATAAAAGTAATTAGACGTTGAGATAATTATAAATATTTTAGATAAACAGAAAACTGAGTAACCGCTCTTATAAAAAAAATTTAAAAGGAAATTATTAAAAAATACCTCTTAATTCTTAAAACAAAACTTAATGCTAAAAATAATATTTTCCGAAAAAAAATTATCCATGAAACATGAAAGGAGACAAAGTCTATCAGAAACGCTTTAAAAAATGCCACGCTATCATAAAAACGCTCTCAAAAAAAGATTACATATAAATAAATCTTAATTTTCGAAAGAAAATTTTAAAGCTAAACATCTGCCGTCTTTTCCAAGAAAAAGTGAAGAATAAAGTCGAATAGAAAACCTCTTAATTGCCACGTCTTATTAAAAACGTTTAAAAAAGAAAAAGCTAAATAGAAACCAAAACAAAAATCGTTCTTAATGTTTAAATGGAAAATTTAAACTTTAAAAATCGCAATTTAACTTTTTCACATTACCGTAGTTTTAGAAAAAAAATGACCATAAAAAGAGTAACGTTCATTAGAACTCTTTTTCTTCTTAGTTCTGAAATGTAGCTCTAACGTTAATAATCACACTTTTCTAGGTTACCTGTTATCTATCTTACCGTACAGGAAAAAAAAGGGACGATAAAAAAATAAAGTTTAAATGCTGCTCTATAATTAAAACAGAAGAAAAATCTAAACAAATAATAGCTTTAAAAATTTAATCCTATCATTTCTATTAACGATGGAAAATTTTTGAAATCGTGAGTTTATAAATTTTAAAATCGTTAAAAAAGATTAATGAAAATATTAGCGAGTAGAAAACGGCTATTAGTAACAATTGGATTAGTCGAAATTGTCATTGCCCGGTTTACCCTACGCTAATGTTTTGTAAGGTTAAGTGCCACTACCCGTTATATCCCTACACTGATGCTTTATTTCCCTTTTAAATTAAGGCCTACACTTATGATTTTTTTTTTGTAGGTTATGTGCTTTGAAAAACACAAAGTAAAAATAATCGGAAAGAATTAAAACCGTCTAGCACNCGCCGATTTTTTTTTTAAAAACCAAGAATCGTACTAAAATTTTGTACAGAATACGGAAAAGAGCACGATTTTTTAGAGCATTCCTCATAATTATTATTTTAAGATACTAGTTGTAAGCTGATTTCTTAATTAGTATTTAAAAAGCAGATTTTCTTATTATGATTTTTTAACTAAACGAAACTAATTTTAAACAGAAAAAAATATATATATTAAAAATATTCTTTTTTGTTGAAATCTAAGTAAAAAAAAAAAAGAAAGAAATGCATAGATGCGCAAAAATACTTTGTTTTAAATATTTATTTTTATATTCTTATTCTTATTTTTTTGTAGATTAATGTACATTAATTTATCCCATATTGGTGATTTGTTGGGGAAGGAAAAGTCAACATAGGCTGGAAATTATTGATCATGAAAAAGATCATACTTATGTTTTATAATACTTACTGTTTTTTTTTTTCTTATTATAATTTTTTAATTAAACGAAACTAATTTCAAAAAAAAAATTTTTATTTAAAAAGATTCTTTTTTGCTGAAATCTAAGTAAAAAAAAAAACGAAATGCATAGATGCGCATAAATACTTTGTTTTAAATATTTATTTTTATATGCTTATTTTTTGTAGATTAATGTACATTAATTCATCCCTCATTGGTGTTTTGTTGGGGAAGAAAAAGTCAACATAGGCAGGAAATCATTGATTATGAAAAATATCATACCCATGTTGATAAAAATTTACTGTTCCTTTTTTTTATAAATAAAAAATTAAAAAAAATTTTCAGAAATTTTTCTTTTTTTACTATAAATTTTTTTTTTCTGAAATATATTTGCTTCTAAGAGACAAGAGAACTTACCTGAAAAAAATAATTAGTATTATCCAAATGGGGGGCGTACTGTTTGTTCGCCCCCCCCCCATGTTTTCAGCTGCCATATCCCACCCTCTTAGACTCAACAGGAACTCTTTGAATAACATGATAACCACCTATCCTGGTGGTTATCATGTTATTCATTTAATATTTTAACAGTTGACAGTTCCTTCTGCAAACTCTNAAAACCGTCTAGCACAAGTATTTATGAAACAACTTATGAGCAGCGTACTCAAACTGCGGACGTCCGCATCTAATTTAAAGTAAACAAGAAACTGACATCGTCTATTTGGAAATCACCATGAATATTAGATACTCTAGCCAAATGCATTAAAAATTATTACACTAACCAAGTTTCATATATAATTATTGATAATAACAACCAGTAAATGTGATAAATTCTGATACATTATTCACTTTAACCACATTTAATCATACTCAGAGCCTGGCTAAGCCCTTTATTTTACGTTTCCTTCTTTAATGAACTTTTTTTTTTTAAACAAAATATCAATACAGTGTAAAATCGAACAGTTTTATATCAGCTTCTTCATTAATCTATCGTATGAACACAATCTATGTTTCCTAAATCCATGGCTTTTTAAGGCGGAATTCAACTACATTTTCGCAATTACGATGGACACATTGGGCCAATCAAAGGCCTGTATTTTTTACATATCGCAAAATGCAATATGTTAACAAAAATTCAGAC